CTTCAATATCGACGAAGAGACCCACCGCGGAAGAGCACAGTTCACAATCGCGAAAGGGTTCCCCCCAATTTCTTTCTTCTCACAACGTCGCTGTCGCCCTCGATGCAGGTTCGCCGTCGCCGTCGCACTATTTCAAATGCAGGTTCGCCGTCGCCGCGGAAGAGACGCTCTGAAATTCCACCTCGGAAGAGAAGCTCTGAATTTCGACGAGCTCGATCGCCTTTTTTTTTTTGATGCAGTGAAGGGTTTCTGTTTTGATGCAGAGCTCGATCGCCTGGATTTCAATTTTTTTTAAAATGATTGTGTAATGAACCGGTGCAACAGGTTACCAGTCCACAAGTGAAAATAATAATAATTAAATAATTTCAATCCAATGGCTGATATTTTATAACAAGATCTAATGGCTCTAAGTATATTAAAGCATGGGTACTATATAGCATACTAAAATGCCTCCTTGGACAAATCTTCCGAAATTACTGAAGGAAAGCCCTTCAACACCAACAGATTCCTTGGCTTGCTTCTTCCATTCCACAGCCTTGTGTTTCACCACCTTTCCTGTCTCTCCACTCATCATCTCCTCAATCACATCCGCAACCTCCTTCCTCTTCACATCAGCACTGACCTCCAGACCGATCCCCCACTCGCTGCAAGCATACCTGCAGTTAGTCTGTTGTTCCGCGAAAAAGGGCCAACATATCACAGGAATGCCGACGGAGACGCTCTCAATCATCGAGTTCCAACCGCAATGCGTCAGGAAAACTCCCACAGATGGATGTGAAAGCACTTCCTGCTGTATGCACCAACTGGCCAGACACCCCCGGGTTTCGATCTCCTCGAGAAACTCCGGCGGCAGGACTGCTGATCCCCCCCTTAAGATATCCGGTCTCACGATCCACAGAAACGGGCGCTTGCTTTCTGCAAGCCCCCACGCGAATTCCTTGAGGTGTTCGTCCGACATAACCGTTATGCTTCCGTAGTTGACATACACAACCGACCGAGGTTCTCTTTGGTCGAGCCACTCCACGCATTTCAGGTCTTCTTTCCACATATTTGAACTTATTGTCCTGGATGCTGTTACGGCGGGTTCAGACATTTCTTCACCTCCAAGCGAGACGAGTGGGCCGACGGTGTAGATTTGACGAGGCCAGGGGAAGTAGTCCTTTCTGATGGTTGTTAGCGCTTTCCCTTCGAATGCATCGAATGTATTGAAGATGATTGCGCCTGATTTCAAGCAGTTCCTGGCTTCGATTCTCAGGAAGTGGAACATCACATCTTCAGCATCCGTTGTAATTGCGAAGCTTGGCAGATCCTTGAGACGGATGTTGCTCATCCCAGCTGGAATCCATTCTAGAGGACTCTCGAGGGTTCCGTCCTTCAAGTTGTGCTCTAAAATAGAGAATGGAAAGTTGTTAAAATACGATTCAACCATTTGCAACTTTTTGACATAAACTAATTCCCACATCATATTCAGCTATATAATTCTGTTTTTAGATGGGAGCAAAAAAAAAAGTCGCCACCTTTGAGAGGAAAGATGCCTCTTCTAATGAGTTTATCATATTGCAAATACCCCACGAGCCCGCAAGCTGAGGCGGTCCAGAAAGTCGCATGCTGAACCCCCAACAGGCGAGCAGCTTCAATTCCAAACGTCATGACTCCATCAGAAACTATGCAAGTAACTGGAGGAGCTACTCGAGTACTACTCGAGTTGAGCTTTCCCATCAGCTCCATAAACGGCGGCAGGCAGTGGTTCTGCGTGGCGTAACAGAGAGCAGGAATGTCTTGGGTGGCATCCTCGTCCGACGGCGGCAGCCCATCGGGGAACGCCTGGAACTGGAAATCGGAGAGACCCTTCACAGCTTCGGGGCCCCTGGCTCGAACCAGGCGCCTGTGGTTGTGCTCGGTGTTGACGAATGTGATGTGGAAGCCTCTGGAGTGCAAGAGTTTGGCGAGTTGCATGAAAGGGTTGACATGGCCTTGTGCTGGAAATGGCAGCAGCACAGCGTGTGGCTTATTCTGCTTTCCTGGATGTGCAGACGACCCCATGGATGCCCTTCAGCTTTGGGATTGGGCTCGTCCTTCTACTTATACAGAAACAGAGAGGCTAATTGAAGAGGACACGTGTCAGCTTGCAGTTGAGTTTTTCACTTGTTGGAATGCTGATTACTATTAGAGCACGATGGGATTGAGGAGGAAACGTCAGAGCGGCCAGGAAAACAGGGGATAGGCAAGCTGCGGCTCCGTATAGGTCAGTCACACTTGCATGATGGTCACGTTTTCTGTTACAAAAAGATCCGAAGTGACGTACCCAGAACAACAACAATTGTTTTGGAATAGCAGGAAATTAAACGGAAAGAAGATAAGACCCGGAAAGCACTTAATAATTGATCTCTGCAAATTTAGCTTCTTCCATAGTGGGTTAGTGACAGGAAAAATAATCAAATATCTTCTGGTTGCGTTTCCAAACCGCCAAGCAGATATTCTAGAGAACTCAGATAAGCACACCAGGAGACTTGAGAGATATTATTAATTAAGGTAGCACCATACGATTTACTCCAAGTGTTATCTGAGAGAGAAATTATCATAATTAACGACAAGTGTTGAAGTCAAATATGAGAGAGTTAAATACTATTCTTAATTTGTTTTGATTTCATGGTTGTACGACAAGTGTTGAAAGTGTCTTTTCAGTTTTGAATTACATCAAAAACAAATTTAGAAGTTAAATATGCGTCAGTTCGTGAATAACTGTCTAGTAGGATATACCAAGACAAATTTATTGAGCAGTGTAGACACCAAGTGTATTTTATAAAAATTTTACAATATGAAAATACATCATTGATTTTTTTTAACTTGTAGGAGTTGAGTATTTTCTTATTTAAGAATTAAATAATTTTTATTAATTATTTAATTTTTATTTTACTTTATTTTTGAAAGAGGACACCCCGTATGTAAAATTCATGGGTCCGTCACTACCTGTTAGAAAACACCGTGACGAGTATATTACGATACCGGTACGTACGGAGTCCTATTCGTCTTTTTAACATAACGGTATGTCTAAAAGTTCTGCATCAATTACAAAATATAAAAGATTTATAATTTGATTGGATGTAAATTTATAAAATTATTAATATAATTGCTTATAATACGTACGTGTATTAAACGTGTTATACGTGTTCAATACGGGAAAACAAACGGGGTAAAATGAGACGCTCTACAATAGTAAAAAAAGAGGAGTTTTAAAGGGATTTAGTACGTATAGAAATATTATAAGAGTATTAAACGGATTTTTACTAACTATTATAAGGGTTGGGTGATTATGGATGATGATGTTAATTGTGTTGGGTGTCAATTGTAATTAGCCTTTAATCCTTGTGTTAGTAGCATTGGTTAATTACTTAATGATCCTTGAGATAGGGTTTTCGGCTATGATAAATAGGTGAGGTTAGCCGCTATTGTAACTGAAGGATTTTTGGATAATACAATTGGCTCTGAGAGGTTGCTCCTCTCCGTGGATTAGTCTCAACGTTATACGTTGAGGATACCACGTAAATCGGTGTACCCTGGCATCCTGCTATTTGGGGGGAAGGGGTTTCTACCAGTCCAAGTTTCCTTGCCTGGATGATAGCTTTGAATGCCATAATCACTAAGGACAAGTTGCTTAGTTGGGTTAAAGTCACAGATGGAGTGTGTTTGCGTTGTCATCAACTCCCTAAGTCAAGGGAACACTTTTTTCCCCAGTGTCCATATGCTCTCGATTTTCTGAGCGGCTTGAAATGCAATCACTAGTACAGGCCAACTTGGAGTGAAATAGTAGCAGCTGAAAGCTTCCGCAGCAAACATAAAAATGTAGCATGCACTGTACATGGTATCATGTGGTTTTTAAACATTGCTACACTTTAGAAAGAGCGATGCAAGAGACTACATGTTGATCCTAACATACCTGTCAAAGTGCTTGGGAAGACGGTTTTGCAATACTTACAGTTTTACCGTTGTAATAAGCCAAATATGAGGGCGACTTTTCTTGCTGTGCATATTTTAGATTGTGAAAGTAGATGGGTTTATAATGGTAGAGTAACAGTTTTTTGTTTGCTTTTCAAAGGGTAATTATGGTCCCTCTCATTGTATCATGTTGTGTGTAAATTTCATATAGCTTTTTTGATCATATAAAAAAGTAACTGATCCAACGGAAAAAAAAAATTATAAGAGATAGCTATTATGTAAGCAAAGATATTACATGAGTTTCCTTAATGATTAACCGACTATGTAAACCTTATGAACAAATTATCATTTTGTATGTATAAATTAAACAAAATTTTATTTAGTTCTTTCATAATGATTAAACACTACATAAACCTTATGTAGGGATAGTTATTTATTATGTATCACTTAAACAAACGGATGACATATGTTATTTGTATTGATTAATACATTACGTAAAATTTATGTAGGTAACTTATCAGAATAGTTTTATTGAATTATTTGATTTCAAATAAAACATTAGTTTCTTATTATGTCGAATAGCGGGCCAAAAAATTAGTATAAATTATACATTCAACCAACCCTAATTTCCTCCCTCTTCTTGGAATGCCGCTGCTCGACTTATTTCTCTCGTTGCTCTCGTCCCTTTTCTCTTTAGACGATGTAAGAAAAAGGAAACGAAGTGTATAATCCACCAAAACCTCCATAGCCACTCACCTCCACCACCTCCTGTCAACATTTACTTGTTTACGAAGGTTCGTTGTATCAACTCTATGTAGGTAGAATAATAATTGGATATACATGATCGAGATTACCCACAGGTATAATCATGAATGGGGTTGCAGAACCTCCACATATGGCTATGTAGTAGGTATGAATCTCGGATTTTAAAAATGATAATGGGATGGTTTTGAAAAATCTGTCCAAAATCCATCTTTCCATCCCTATTTGAATAATTTTTGTTAGTAGTGTCGGTTTGAATACTTTCATGCATCCAAATTTGCATTCAACCACAAAATCTTCCTGTAAATATCTCAAAACCCTCATCCAATGATATAGTTGGATTTCATTGAATATTTTTTAGATAGATTGGTTTGAATGGTTCGCATCCAAACTCCAGGATGATTTTGTTCACCCCTGCCTGTTAAGACAAAGGGAATGAGCAATCTCCTCAATTTTACTACACAAACACAATAGAGTGAACTAGTTAAGCTAAAGTATTACCCAAATCACTTACAAAACCAACACCGGTATCTCGAATGCTTTTTATTATCTCCATGAGCAAACATTAACATGTTCTTATTATAATAGTTGTCATATTTATGATTGCAGACAATATTCTTGGACAAGTCTTCTGAAGTTAATGAATGATGACCCTTCATCGACAACAGCTTCTTTCGCTTTCCTCTGCCATTCCAAAGCCTTATGTTTCATCGCCTTCCCTTTCTCTCCACATATCATCTCCTCGATCACGTCCACAACCTCGCTCCTCTTCACATCAGCACTTAGCTCCACACCAATCCCCCATTGGCTGCAAGCATATCGACAGTTAGTCTGTTGCTCTGCGAAAAAGGGCCAGCAGATCACAGGAACGCCCGCTGAGACGCTCTCTACCGTAGAGTTCCATCCGCAATGCGTCAGGAAAACTCCCACGGAAGAATGTGAAAGCACTTCCTGCTGTATGCACCAGCTGGCTAGACACCCACGACCTTCGATCGCCTCTAGAAACTCGCTTGGCAGGATCGCTGAATCCCCCATTGCGATATCCGGTCTTACAATCCATAGAAATGGGCGCTTGCTCTCTGCGAGCCCCCACGCGAATTCCCTGAGGTGTTCGTCAGACATAACCGTCACGCTTCCATAGTTGACATACACAACCGACCCTTGTTCTCTTTGGTCGAGCCACTCCATACATTTCGGGTCTTCCTTCCATAGATTTGAACCGATGGTCTTGGATTCAGCTCTGGGGGCAGCCATTTCGTGTCCAAGCAAATGGAGCGGGCCAATAGTGTAGATGTGACGAGGGAAGGGGAAGTAGTCCTTTCTGATGGTTGCAAGTGTTTGTTCCTCGAATTCATCAAAGGTATTGAAGATGATTGCACTGGATTTCAAGCAGCTCCTGGCTTCAATCCTGAGGAAGTGGAAGATTACATCTTCCGCATCCGTGCTTGTTGCAAAGCTTGGTAGATCCTTAAGACGAATGTTGCTCATTCCTTGAATCCAATCTAACGGACTGTCAAGTGTTCCGTCACTCAAGTTGGCCTCTGAAACGGCATGAAAAAGAGTTAAAAAAAGAGAACCAATTGTATACATGGTGCAAGAAATTGTAAAGTTGCCACCTTTGATTGGAAAGATGCCTCGTGCGACGAGTTCATCGAATTGCAGATACCCAACGAGGCCGCAAGCTGAGGCGGTCCAGAACGAAGCGTGCTGGACCCGGAGCAGTTCCGCGGCTTCGATCCCAAAAGTCATGATTCCATCAGAAACTATGCAAGTAACTGGAGGAAGTTGCGGAGTGCTTGACCTGAGCTTCTCCATCAGCTCCATAAATGGCTGCAAGCAGTAGTTCTGGGCGGCATAACAGAGGGCAGGAGGGTCTTGAGTGGCGTCCTTATCCGACTGCGGCAACCCATCAGGGATCGCCTCGAACTGGAAATCGGGGAGACCCTTCACGGCTTCAGGCCCTCTGGTTCGAACCAGGCGCCTGTGGTTGTGCTCGGTGTTGACGAATGTTATGTGGAAGCCTTCGGAGTGCAAGAGCTTGGCGAGTTGCATGAATGGGTTCACATGGCCTTGTGCTGGAAATGGCAGCAGCACTGCGTGTGGCTTCTGCTGCTGAGTTTCTGCAGTTGAGCACCCCATCTCACTCTCTCTCTGCTCAATGGTAATACCCGGACCAGTGACCGCCACAGTTCTGCTTATATATAGGAAGATGTCGCAGCAATGGTGTTCCAATAAGCAGAGGGGCAAAACGAGAAACAGAGTCTTAACAGAGTAGACGGGTCAGAATTTAGTTAGGGTTATCAATCACTTCAATCAGCCGGACTTTTCTAGGCAACCACAGCCGCTGTGTATCGGTCGTCGGCACACTTGATTGAAAGTCAGGTTTTTCAGCTACCGGGGAATTTTTCCCAGTGACGTATCCAGTACAACAATTGCAGACTTTTGATGTGTGCATCTTCCTTCCTTTGAAATGTCATGTTGGGCAAGAAAGATAGGGAGACACGGAAGCACTATTACCCTTTGACGGGAGCTTCTTTGGCGTCTCCTCTTCAACAGCATGAGCAAAATTGAGCGATAACTTTCGAGTTGGAAAGACTATATATCACCACATGTATAGGGCACGGCTGAGATAGAAACAACAGTCACATCTCACATCACATATGTGGATTCATTCCTTGATCTTATCATGTTTACACTCATGCCATGTCACAGCAGCTCTAAGAATGCTGTCAATTAATGACCAAAACTGCAGAACAACTAGCGGGCTTTGCTGCCTTCAGTTTTGAAGAGAAGCATCATTCCTCCAACAATTACGGTTGTGACCATAGCTGAGGGGAGCTACGTACAAGCTCAACGATTTCATCATATTTCTATTCGATGGGGGTGAATATGATTATTTCATTAGCCAGCCAGCAGCAACGGCATTCTGAAGCAATAGCTGTAGATCGTGTAATATTTGGAAGGGGGGGAGGAAATCCCCATCTTGTGTAAACAATCGAGTGAAGAGGGAAAGTATAACACGGCATAACCCTGAGCAGTACAAATTGGATGGAGCTTGTAACTCTAGACCTACCATGCCAACGAGTTTCTCAAGAGTCAAGACACATGATAACTGAAGTTTTAGTTGCCAGTGGGGAAAATGGCTAGCAATTTCCCATACAAGCACCAATACCAACGAATCAGCCGGAGAGCATCAGGTTTTAGATGCTGAAGTAAGAGATGCAGCAAACCAACCAACCAATCAAGAACGAGTATACTAGAGGGTGAACACACAACAATGTCCGATGACTAACACTATTACTTTGTGACTTACGGGTGAAAGAAGAGGACAAACCCATTACAAACCTTTGCATTTAGTACAAAACGGTTACAAATCTTTAATTTGTAATGATACAGTAACATAATTTTGTAGTTAGTACAAAACGGTTACAAATCTTTAATTTGTAATGATACAGTAACATAATTTTGTAGTTAGAACAAAACGGTTACAAATTAAACAGCGTGACCATTTCATTCAAGTTCAAACTTTTGTTAACGTGTCGTTACAAATTAAACTTTTGGTGACTTTTTTTCTACAGCATTCAAAGGTTTGAACGATCAATCACTGTTACAATTCACTTAGTCGAGGTATGATGGCTTTGTTAATGTATGGGAATGATATGATCGTAAAAAAAGGATGACAGTACTCATAACAACAACAACAAAAAAACAAAGGATGGTAGCTAGAGAATTCTATGCCTCACAAATGGATTACAGGGTGTTCTTTTTTTTAAAAAAACTTTGCATACTTTCTGTTGGGGGTGTTACTAAGGGACAGAGCGCACAGACTAAGCATTAGGGCGCATAATCGGCGATACCCAACGCTCGATACCCGCTACAGGTATATAAGGGCTTGAAGCCCTCCAAAGAAGGGGACTTCTCCTCTCTCCTCACTTTCTACTTTTGACTATCTCTCTACACCTTATCTCTCTACCTTATTCTCTCAACTCTCTCCACAAACATACACTAACTTGACCGTCGGAGCTTAATCCGGGGGGCAACCCCGGCTCTTTCACAGGTGTCTCTCTCTCCCGACGAGATCGGACGAACGGACGACGAGTCAACCCACACCAATAAATATCATTGTTCGTGTCCTGAGCAAGTAGGTTCAAACAATTGGCGCCCACCGTGGGGCAGACTGGGATTCATTCGTTCGATCGCGAAAGGAGGAAGAACTTTTCATCTGAAAAGAATACAAAAGCTTCATCGAAAAAAAATGGGGCGAAAAGCCAGCCGGAGTTGAAGAAACAGAAAAGCCCTTCCTTCCTCACCTCCCACCACCGCCGACGACAACAACGCAACAAAGAAGGACATATGTGCAATTCAAGAAAGGTTGAAGCTTCGACGAAAGAAAAGGGGTTCAGATATGGGCTTCTATGAAAAAAGGTTGAAGCTGCGGACGTCTATTGCTGAAGGGAAATTGAAGAAGCACCACAGTGCAGTCAACATCATCACGCTCTCCTTCGGCAGTTTTCTCTTCTTCCCATACGTCATGTCAGCCCCACTACAGTAGTCGTCGCTTTCTCGATACTCGAGCAAAAGCAGGACGTGGTTCCCTAGGCAAGTATCCGGGGGGCATCCAATCGCCATCCCGATTTCGCCGCGAGCTCCGCTCCGCCAGTATCGACACTCTCCGCCATTCCCCTTTGCTAGCACAACTCGCCGCTATGCCAGTCCACGCGGGGAGAGACGAGCCGGATTCCTTCAAGTTCAAGTACAGCGCCGGAGCACGGGCTATGAAAAACATAGTGCCGCCCTTTGCCAAGCTATCTCTAATGGCGATGCGCTTTTGGTCTTCCGCGCAACCTGCTGTCTCCAAACACCTCAGCTTCACGGCCATAACAACCGTCGATTTCGCCTCCGTCGGGGCGTCGCGTTTTTGCGCTCCTCCGCGCGTTATGTCCTCTCCGCCGCCGCCGCCTATGCTTTCATCAACGAGTGCGCGACAAGAAGGTGTGGCTGTTCTCTTTTCCCCTTTCATGGAGGCCGGGACGCTGCTGCTTTCGTTACCGACGTTGTTCCTCTCCCTGGGGGCTCGGCGCGAACAGAAAAAAGAAAAAAAAAATATATATATATATATATATACACCACAAAGAAGAGAGCCCAGCCGCCACTTTCCTGAGTCTCATCAGCCACCAGAGCGCGGCCTGGCCCGCGTCCATATCAGCCAACCAGCGCGGGCGCCCGCCAGCGCGCGGCCCGCTCTGCTTCTGGCCCAACCCCGGCCCGCGTCCAAATCAGCTCACCATCTGCTGCCCCAGCCGCTTCAGCCACCATAGCGCGGCCTGGCCCGCGTCCAAATCAGCTCACCAGCGCGCCCCGCTCTGCTTCTGGCCCAACGACCGGAAGCCTCCAAAAAATAATTGAAGTCGCCGCGAGGGTTCGAACTCGCGTCGCTCTTCCCAGTGTCAAGCAACAATACCAGTGCGCTACAAATATTGTTTGTGGTTCGAAGGTGCAGCGCACTAGTTTAAACTTTTTCAACTTCAACTCGCGGCCCGCATCCTCTATGAGATCCGCCCCTCAAGGCCCGCCAAGCCCAAGACTCGCAGGCGGCCCAACTCGCGGCTCGCATCCTCTATGAGATCCGCCCCTCAAGGCCCGCCAAGCCCAAGCTCCGCTTCACTTCAGAAAAGAAAAATTATTGTCATCGCGAGGGCTCGAACCCGCGCCACTCCTCCGACAGGCAAGCATCCCCAACTCGCGGCTCGCATCCTCTATGAGATCCGCCCCTCAAGGCCCGCCAAGCCCAAGCTCCGCTTCACTTCAGAAAAGAAAAATTATTGTCATCGCGAGGGCTCGAACCCGCGCCACTCCTCCGACAGGCAAGCATCCTCACCAGCAGGCTACAAGCGAGCAATGTGTTTCAATGGCGCGACATCTGATCTTTGACTACTCGCGCCCATTCAGTTCCACGGAACAAAAAATTAGCAATAGTCCAGCACTATTCGCGCCTAGTTCGAAAGAACAAAAATTAGCAATAGTCCAGCAATATTCGCGCCCAGTTCCACGAAACAAAAAATTAGCAATAGTCCAGCACTATTCGCGCCTAGTTCGAAAGAACAAAAATTAGCAATAGTCCAGCACTATTCACGCCCAGTTCCACGGAACAAAAAATTAGCAATAGTCCAGCACTATTCGCGCCTAGTTCGAAAGAACAAAAATTAGCAATAGTCCAGCACTATTCGCGCCCAGTTCCACGGAACAAAAAATTAGCAATAGTCCAGCACTATTCGCGCCTAGTTCGAAAGAACAAAAATTAGCAATAGTCCAGCACTATTCGCGCCCAGTTCAAAAGAACAAAAAATAGCAATAGTCCAGCACTATCTGCGCCCACTCAGTTCCACGGAACAAAAAATAGCAATAGTCCAGCACTATCTGCCATCACTCCACCTCACAAGCGCTATTACCAGTAGGCTACATACAAGCCTTCTGCTTCAAGGGCGCAGCGTCTGCGTTTTAACAGCTCTTCGCGCCGCTTCGCCAATAGAGAGCTAAGTACTCTACCCCTTTTTTCATTATTAAATTTTTAAAAAAATATTTTACTATCCTAAGCGTTAATGGCGCTAATGGGGGGCAAGACGCAAGAAGCTGGCGCCGCGTCACTCAAACGCGCCACCAGCTGGGGGGCAACTGGGGTACATAGGCCCCACCCAAAATTACCGACAAAGATTTAAAAAATAAAATATAAGCTAGTGATGAGTTAAAACTCACCACCAGCTTGGGGGGCAATTGTTGGGGGTGTTACTAAGGGACAGAGCGCACAGACTAAGCATTAGGGCGCATAATCGGCGATGCCCAACGCTCGATACCCGCTACAGGTATATAAGGGCTTGAAGCCCTCCAAAGAAGGGGACTTCTCCTCTCTCCTCACTTTCTACTTTTGACTATCTCTCTACACCTTATCTCTCTACCTTATTCTCTCAACTCTCTCCACAAACATACACTAACTTGACCGTCGGAGCTTAATCCGGGGGGCAACCCCGGCTCTTTCACATGTGTCTCTCTCTCCCGACGAGATCGGACGAACGGACGACGAGTCAACCCACACCAATAAATATCATTGTTCGTGTCCTGAGCAAGTAGGTTCAAACACTTTCTTATTTTCTTGGTACCAAAATTGAAAGGTAAACAAAGGCATTCTTATTCGACAAAGTAAATATATCGATGAACACACGACTCAACATATGTCGTTTAAGTGGTTAGTATCATATACTGGACGAACACACGATCCACCCTCAAAACAGTTACAAACCTTTAATTTATAACGACTCGATAGCAAACCTTTGCACTTAATACAAAACGGTCACAAATTAAACATATGTGACCATTTCATACAATTTCAAACTTGTATCGCCATATCGTTACAAATTAAAGATTTGTGACCATTTTATACTAAGTGTAAAAATTTGTGAACGCTTATTACCCTTAAAATATCTCAAACCCAATAAATAATACATTTTAAAAGTAGCTTAGAAATATTCCTCTTGAATATTAATTTTGGTATCAAAATCTTTATTAAAAAACTTCTGTGGATATCATAGAAATATATTTCCTCCTTTATGGGAAGTTATTGTTGTCCTATGAACAAGATTTTGGATCCAACACATTTCCCCTTGTCTATGGGTTTCTGTATAATGTCCTTTTGTGTGAATATAGTTCCACAACTAGTCATTTTCTTTATACGTAAAGCAAACTTGGAGGCATCATGCTAGCTAGTTTGCTAGCAAAGCTATCTTGAATTCATTTCCACAACTTGTCAATCTCACTTGGAAGTTTCTGTAACGGCTCATCTCTTGAGTTACCGGAGCCATGAGTATCAATGTCACAGACTGATAGTGATAGTTCAGAGATTTTTATTATTTCATTTCATTGCCATCTTGGAAATAGGATATAGCTGTTATATAATTTAGGAATGGCAAAAACAATCATATCCGTGTATGTCCGTCCAATTTTTTTTCCGATGAATGGGTGGCTTTATTCATCAAATACAATCATAGTTTTACAAACAATCACACAGACCTCTAACAGTTTACAACCAAACTCAATTTTACAAGTAAAGGAACTACACACGCACTATCAATTACCCCCTATCTATTCTCTATATACCATAGCTTCTGGGCAGCAGGGGAGCTTGCAAAAACCGGATCTCCTTGCACCTTAGCTTCCACAACCATCTGCATTTTGCGAACCAATTCCTCTACTGTGAGACTTTTCTGACCATATAGTCTTCGGCAGCGCTCCCTCCAAACCAAATTTTACTATTTAATCGAGTAGGCTAAAACTCAAATCCAAAGAATTTTTAATAGTTATGAGTAAAACTCAAACCCAAATATTGCAGGTGATAGATGGGCACGATTGCTATCCAATCCGAACCCATCCGATTATACACACATATGTAATTTGTTTAAAAATGAATCATTATTGTTTTCTCAACATATTTGATATTTATCGTACATATATAATATTTTCATTAAATTGTATTGTTTTCGACTAATTTCTTTGTTCTAGTTATTTATTTTGTAATGTTAATATACATGTAATTGTAGACATGTTTGTTGAAGTTATAAAAAATATATTATCCAAGTATAATCTTGGATATCCAAAACCCAATCGAGTATGAATATGATTTTGATATTTTACTCAATTCTTATATAAATATGGATAAAACTATAATTATTTTGATTAGGATAATGAATATGCATTATATGCCCTAAGCCACTTTTTCTATTAAAATGTGCCACCGGGTACACATTTTTATCCAGCATAGTGGATAGCAATCAAAACGCGATGGGATCCGTTAGGCCTATGGATATATGGACATCGTGACATATACGAGGTTCAGGGGACGCTTGTACAAAAGTAATGCACCCTTTTTACCAAAAAAAAAAGTAATGCACCTTTCCTCGCAAGGACATGGTCAGGAATTTCTCTAAGGTGGATTTTAGACCTGGCAATCGGGTTGTGTTGGATAATTTCAGGTTGAGGACTTCGGTTACGGGTTGGGTCATGTTTGGTTGGCTGATTTTAGGTCAAATATTGACCCAACCCATTTGGTTCCGGGTCGGGTTATAGGTCATTTCGGGTTATGACAGAAACAATATCAAACATGTTTCATATTTTCTTACAGAACACAAATTTTCACATATGCATGACAATAGTTTACCTAACATATGTCAATTAACATATTCTCAAATCCTCCCACGCTAATGAAATGAAATACAAATTGCGCAAATAGTCAAAAAATAATCAGAAGAGTAATACTACTACAAAAAACACATGATATTTGATAATCCTTAAACTCCAAAACATGTCATTCAAATCCTTGTGATTTTTTTTTAAACATCTCACCAATTTATGAGTGATTTTATCATTTTGGGAATGATATATAAAATGGAACGGATCTAACGAGTCGACCCGCTAACCCACCCAACCCGACCCAAAAAATCACAGGTTATCGAGTTCGGGTCATTCGGATTTCGGGTTACAAAAAATTCTAGTTTCCGGGCAGTTTCGGATCGGGTCAACGAGTCGGATTGTAATTTGCCAGGTCTAATAGATCCTTTTCAAAAATATTTATGATAAAATATTTTTTGTTAACTTTTTTTATCATTCATGATTTAATATTATATATGAAAAGTTTTGTTAAATTAAAATACATTAATATTCGAAACTATGACAAACATTATTTTTACGTACTAACAATTATTCATGATTTAGTTAGTTGTTTACTTTCGAATGATGCACTTAGTCAAGTGCACTTAGTCAAGAACCGTTTACTAACACTATATGATGTTATTAGATTAAATTAAATAATTGATCTTATATCATTTACCAACACACTTCCTAAAAAACAACTTTTTCATTAAAGTTTCCATTATCAATTAACTATTATATATAATTTATCAAATCTTGTCCCAAGGACCCAACATGTGCTTTGACACTCGGTTTGCTTCCTTGCACGTCATCTATTCAACAGAGTCAACCGCCCCTGGCATTGACACCAAACTCACCTTCTCATATTTCCTCTCTTCAGACAACAGATAGACAGACCAATTTAACGAATTGTCTTGCCCATGCTTGAAAATCAACCCTTCAGGCTTCACAGATCTAATAATTAAGGCAAAGAGACATCGAAAAGAATGTCAAGTTGATGATGGATCAGCATTGACGGGTCGATCAAAGCAGTCAGATATGGCAACAACGAACGACTTGCTGAGAGAGATTGGGACACGAACAAATGAAATGTTGGGAGCAAGTCTAGGCTGACGTTCAATGCTAGAACGCAGCCATGCCTTTTCTTTCAACCCGGATTCTATTTTAGGAGAGGTTGCGACAGTCTCAATGCAGCAACTAATACAAAGGTCAAGGGCCCTCTCCCATCTCCCCAACCCTTTCAGCACCATGCTGCTGCCATTACCTTAACTGCTCACACCTTTTACTATATATATAACCATCATGTCCATCACCAACAGACTTGCAATTCTAGGGGGAGTAAGAAAAAAACAGGAGGGACAGTTCAGAAGAATCACGTCGACAAATTCAGTGATGAACTTATGGATAACATTTCACCATAAACATGAAGACACGAACTGGTGTTTGTCTCAAACTTTCACTGCCTTTCAAGGTTGTAGAACCTAACTAACTACAGGATGGAACATGTATAAAGGAGCATACCTGCAACAAATCCATCGAAAGGGTGCAATAAAGCCACTTTACAGACACAGTTGCTATGAAAAGATTGAACCGACAACCACCTTCTTAACTTTTTACTCTTGACACATTTACCTTGTAGGCTATAGGGTTGTGCCCCCACCATCAGACATTAGTGATGCTGCAGCAGCAGCAGCAGTCGGAACAACCCCAGTTGAGATACCTGGCTTTGATAAATGCAGAAGCCTGCAACATATAAAAAAGGTGCCCACATGTTTTGGAAATAGTTAGAAGCCTGCCAAGGACTTTAAAAGGGACTCCCCTCAGAGCTCAGATTGTATGCACACAGTATTGTAATACTCACGGCGCAAGATATTCACAGAAGGACGAGACTGCAGCAACTACTTCAGAATAATTCTCTGGTGTTGCAGGGGCTGTTACTTCAACAAGCTGTATGCCAGGGGTTACAGGTACAGCCTCATCTGTGGCATGCAGTTTCAGCATCTTATTAATAGACGACACTGTAACGGTTATTTGAGCACCCCTTTGGAAGTGGAAGGCAAATCCAACCCTTAGTAGCTCATTCTCCAGCTTGTAACCAAGACCGTAGAACAAACGAAGAACATTCTTGCTTGCTTTGCTCTCTATCATACTCCTTACAAGGACAGAAATCTGGTCAGCACCAGCTCCCCTCATTGCACCCCCAATATGTTTCACAGTCCTTCAGGTTAAGGCATTCCATAAGCAATTAAGAACAGGAGAATGAAAATAAAAAATTGGAAAAAAGAAAGAGGAAAACCATGAATCACAAAGGAGGGTATAACTTACCAAGTGGGTTCAGAATGCTCAAGGTCACACAAGAGCCGAACTTCAGAAGCAACCGGTCCTACAAAAGGAACCGCGTGCACTTTCCGTAAGACAGGAACATCCAGCTGAGAAAAGGTTCAACTAGTAACCAGGTAATACAGAAATCCTGAAGTCGGGAGTCGGGAGAAAAGATGGTAACTTCACACTTGTACATTCAGAAGACAAACTTAAGATAGCTAGACTAGACCAAGTAGCGTAAGGAAAGCCACAATTATATAAGAAGGTATCACTGGAAACGAACCAATTTTTGTCTTGGATTTTCAGAAGTAACATTTTAAGAGCTCCAACCCAGGTCAATTGAGAGAGCAAAAGTTGATCAAGCCTAACACCAATATGTATAGAAACCTTGTGAACTTATCTTCCTGCCAAATCTCACCTAGATTAGGACCGCTTTTGAGGCATAACTCATGGACCCTTAAACGTTCTCTGTGAACTCCACAAAGACCCTGCAAAAGTATCTCTAGCGCCTCCACATGCTGTAAAAGGATGCAAACAAACAAACAAACTGATTCGTCAAGTAGGGAACAGAACATAGCAACTTCAAAGCACCAGATCCCATTAAGTTATTACACAGAAAAATCCTCCTACAACTCGGTCAAACCTAGCATCAGCAGTAACAGAGAAAAGCACCTACCTGAGTCTCGATTATTCCTTGAACCACACACTCCATTATCCCAAAGTTAGGTTTATGTACGAAGGTTTTTCAAGCTTTGCTTCCCTTCACCAACAAACAACCAAACTTAGCCTCTGAATAAGTTGCAAAGGGAGAGCAACATTACAAATGACATTGAAATCCACAATTTCAGAGATAAGCAAATGCACCAAGGGTGAAGCTAAAGCACATTGGAAGCCGTTAATCCCAGCTTAAGCCTGATTTGAGTTTCTATTTAGCCAGTCAATAGTTAAACGGAGGCATCGAAGAGCTCGAAACTTGAAGCTTACGGGAAAACACTAGTGCGTCAAAGCTTTCGCACCAAACACAAATAAACGGAACAGCGACAGCTCGGCTTCTTACTCGAACAGCAAATGCTTAAGAGGGAGATAATTCACAACTCGCACATCGAAGCACAGAACACCATGAAATCCAGCAATAGCTTCTCCAATCGGCAGTGATAGGTAGCCGAAGGCGGCGCCTACGACCGGCGGCGGATGCTCGATTAGACCCTCCTTTTCTCTTCCTTTCAATCTATTCACTGAAGAGTGAAGTCTAGAGCCTCCCGATTTCCCTCCTCCTTCCGCCGTTCTGTTTGCTAGATCTCTCACTAGGTTAGATTAAATACATTTTAGTTTATGTACTAAAGCAAAGATTACACACAAGTCCCTTAGCTAAAATTATTCTCTCCAAAGCCCTTATATTATACGTTATTTTTCGTGAAGCCCTTATATTATACGTTTTTAGGGTTGTGCTTCCATTGGGATGAGCGCTTCACCATTGGCCACCATTGTGCGAATAACAACGTCCTTCTCATGATTGGCGCATGTGCTGCGGATGAGGGGGGCAAGTTCATCGAGGAAGAAGACCAACCTTGAGGGCAAGGTTGTGCTCAAGGAGGGAGGATGTTACGAGATCGGGTCATCGTAGCATTTTGTAGAAGACTGGGCTTGCGTATCTTTTAGTATTTTTATTATTAGTCGTAATTGGGATATTATTTGGGTATTTTTGGTATTTCGTATTATGATTAATTGTTAGTAGTAGATTGAGATTTCTTAGTACTTGTGTGTTTAGGATTTAATATATATTCCTTATAGAATAGGTTTCATAATTGTGATAGGAAAAGGAAGAAAAGGGTCGTCGACCCAGTAGGAAAAGGAGAGGGAATTTCAGGATTCTCTAGCCTATAAATATCTACTTGTTTTGTTCGTTTAATGATAAGAAGATTGGAACTCAAATATTTAGCTTTCGTTCTTTTATTTGCTATTTCTTAGTTATTTTCTTTACAAGTTTTCTGTGTTTTATTTCCTTTACGAAAAACCCCTAAAAACGTCATCCCCTACGTCATCGTAACACGCCTCATCGCCTCCCATGTACGATCGAGCACCTCCAAAAGTGAAGAAAAGGAAGGAAGACGAAGAGGAATAATGATAGTCAACCCCCTTATTTTTTCTAACCTTATCTAAATTCCTTGATGTTTCTAAAGTCAGAGAATTTTCTTAAGTAAAGAAAAATTAAATCAAAATCAAAATAACAAGTCTTCATCAATTGCTTGTTGAGGTATTGTGACTGACTAGGCTACAGATACGTTCATAACTCTATGGTGCATATTATGCACAACTAAATCTTATCATTTTATTTTAAGTGGGCATCATATCTAAGAGGTGAGAAATTGAGAATTAATGACTTTTTATTTTTCTTAGTTATCTTAATCGGCTCTTAGCTTCTTCGTTTTAAATAGGATTTCAAATAAAATTACATAAATAGAACGAGTTTATTGTGCTCTACAAAATTAAATCCATTTTCAATATATTTCGAGAAAAAAATTCATACCACTTGTTACCACCTCCATACCATATGGTATCTCTTTTTTTAAGTCAATTTTGAAATTTTTTGCATAGAAAAAACTTGTTCATCATGATCTATTGCATTCTGGGTAAAAAATACATGACCAAAAAATGTTAGGGGTGGTATCTTGTGGTACACAATGTTGAAAGCTGTAAATGATAGTTATTATATTCATATTATCATGTATTCAACCATTCTACAGTCAGTGGCGGAGGCAGGATTCGATACTACCCCTGTCCTTTTCCATAATATAATATAATTATATTTATTTAATTAATATTTAATTAATAAATATAATGAAAATTAATTATATCAAAATAATTCATTCATATATAAAAAAAATAACCTAACTACTACAATCATTGTTTTCATAAACAACCACGACAAGATTCCATATTGTGAAAGAAACACAAAAACATTCGTCATCTACACTATTAAGTAAGTCTTTTTCCTTGTTAAAAAAAAGTAAGTCTTTTTCAATGTACCCACTAAACAATCATTAGCAAATTGATTGCCAAATTGACTTTGATACTTGTTCTTAATAAACTGAAAATGTTATTTCTACCCTTGCAGTTGCAATTGGTAGAATAAAAAATAGTTGAAAAATCGAATAGGTATTGAGAGAAAAGAGGTCCGATTAGGTCTTTATTACAATAAGAACTTCATTTATAGTATAATAATTAATTTTATGTCAATTTATTAACAAGTAATAAGTTGTGTGACAGTGACAAAATACTCTCATGCCAACAATACGTATTATGTTCCACTATCAATATAAATATATATGGTGTATTTTTTTCCTTCCCAAATTTACCCCAGTCCTGGGACAAGGGCAAATAGTCCTGCCTCCGCCTATGTCTACAGTCTGGTATGTTCATACCACCACGATACACTTTCATACCATGTGGTATGCTCTCATGTAAATAAAAACAATACCACCATGGTACAAACTAGTGCTAAATGTCTAAAAAATTATATTCAAAAAATATATCAAAGTGGATATAATTTTGAAGAGCACAATTAATCTGATTTATCTGTGCCAAAAAAATCAAATTCCGACTTAAAACGAGAAAGCTATAGCCCGTTAAAATTTAGAAGGGAAAATATTAAAGTCTTTCGTAAATTATGAGTTGGCGTTAATGTGGAACGTTATGAATGGTTGTGCACCACAAGGTTATGCACCACAACTGCTCCGACTGACTAGGCGATCCAATTGCATGATTCAGCTTTCTATCAGTCCATCCAGTAGTGGCGTAGATAGAAATTTTGCTAAGGTGGTACCAACTATAAAAAGAAAATCACAACATAGAAATAACAACATAGCTTATATTAATGTTTTACAATGACCACAATGTGAATTCATATTGTGAAGAGTACGTAAAATACATTCATCATATGATTAAAGCATAAAAGTTGTACTCTTAAACCCGGATCGTCTTCTAAAGAACTCAGATCAAGGTCTAGCCTTTTTTGATTAACTTACTTCAAGAATAAATAATTTATTAAGAATCTTTCGTCTTGGGTTCCAATACAAAATCCAAGCCCGTAAAACCATGTAAAACTCTCGATTATATCGTTGTTCACGTTTTGCATGATTTTGCAGGCAGAGTTTTCGTGCCCTACCATACCCGCTCCCCAATCTTTCCACTCTCTAACTCAATTAAATTATGCTAAAACTAAATGAAATTACGTGTGTAGTAAAGAGCTTTGGGTATATTAGAAGTGGAAAAAACCTTCAATTGTGACGAGAAGCAAAGGTCCAAGCCCATGTATAACCCATGCATATACTTATTTTTTCTTTCTAATCCAGACCCAAGGTGAGTCCGGAGATCCATCTACTAATGGGCTAGCTCCGCCACTGAGTCCACCTAATAGTTCTGTTTGCCACATCATCAAAAATTTAAGTAAGTTAACCAAATCTAATGGAGATTAACAACCGATAACTAACAGTGAAACGGTTCGTAAAGTTAATAACCAATAAGAATGAAAAAAGTTTCTAATGACAAAAAGTAAAAGATTGAAAGAAAGAAACCCGCCGCATGCCCGTGTACTGTACACGCAGACACCTTTTACTGTACAACGTGACTGGGATTTACTGTTTCAAACTGGCGTGGGCTGGCGTGTGGGATGTTGTTGGGTGAGGCCTCATTGGGATCTGACGTGGGATTTGGCGGACTCTGGGGTCTCGGTCGGTGTGGGACTGGTCGTTGGCTTCTGGTTGGCCTTAGTTGCGGTCGTTTGGTGGCCCGGACGCGCGTTGGTCATCAGAGATCGGTATGTGACTTTGCCCCTGCCTGGGCACGTGGGACGGGGCCTTCAGATATGCTCAGTAAGTCTTGCGTGATATGATTGTGTCTGTTAGGGATTCCTAGAGGGTCGTGTTGGGCTGTTGTTCGCAGGACTGTGTTGGAGAAACTTGGCGGCTGATTGGTTGGGGTTGGAGGTGCTTTGGGGATGGTTGATAACTGATTGAAGCAGAAAAGGCAAAGGGGTTTCTTGATTATTGTGATCCTTCGCAACGAAGTTTGGTGATCTTTTCCCCACCATACAGGCTGCCTATCTCCCAATTCCCATCATACAGTATCGTTGGGAGAAGTACTGGGAGTGGTTCGAGAGAAGAGAGAGAACCGTCAGAAACCAATCATGATTTCCTCTCCTTCATCTCGGTACCTGATTTACAGACGCCATCTTCCTCAACGCTCTCTCCCCCTCTCTCTCTACATCGATCTTTATCTCGCCCGCTCCCAGAAGATCCGAAGATGGTCTCTTTCTTGCTTTCGAACCACTCTCCCTTCATCTTTCTTCCTCCTCTCACTTCTTCTCTCTATATATACTTTCTCTTATAACCTCTGTTGATTGTATATTCTTCTGGGTTTTAGGTGGTCAGAGAATCTGGTAAGGTATCCGAGGGGAGCTACGATCTTAAGACTTGCGAGGTGATAATCTCAGCCTAGCTATCTTGCAAGCTCATTCCCTCTCTCTTTCTCTCCTCTACTTCCAACAAATAGGAGCATTTGGATTTGGGGAATTTAATCGACGACCACCACCAAAATCCATTCCACCCCATCAATCAGAGTCGGAGCGATCATCGTGATTTGCTTCGAAGCGTTAACCGAAACGGAGGCGACAATAGTGGCCTCTATATCCTTATCTCGACAATCCTCTCCGATGGAGATCCAGATTCCGATCTCCCCGCTAATCGCAAGTAAGTATTTGAGGTTTTGTTTTTATGAGGTTGTACTTTCCTTCATTCAATCCTTTCTCAGCTTTGTTATTTCACTCTTTCGTTTAGGGGTCTACAATCTGGGAAAGACCATCGCGCTGCAAGTTAAGTCCGCTCGGCTATCTCTTCGTCCAAGAAGACAACTTAAAGTTACAGGTCCGTGCCGGTTGAGGAATCCATTCGTCTTCTAGAAAACGGTGAGCAAGTCGTCCCGATTTTTACCTTTACTCTGTTACAAGTAGCTTATTTTCTTTTACTCTCAGACTTGCGTGGCCGGATATGCATGAATCTCGAGCTAATCAGCTGGAGCATTTCGGTTGCATTTGATCGATCTGCCGTTGTTGGGAATGGTGTAGGAAAGTGTTGTCTCAAGGTGACTGTAATACTGATCAAAGAAGGTTTGAAGGCTTTCATGTTTGCAGATGGGGTACTTTGAACGATAGGGGAGATGGTTACATTTTGTGGGCGAAGGAACAGTCAGAGCTAGGAAGTGTTAGTGTATCTAATGAACCTCTTTTGTACAAGGAAAG